GTAAAAATCGATGTAAATGCGATATCTAAAATACGAATGATCGGTTTCGATTTGTTTGGAAATGAAACATTTTTAGATATCATTGCTCTTGTATATCATTGGAAAATCTAATGTAAATTGTAATGGTTGAAAAATAGAAGTATTTTTATACCAGAAATTGATTTTATTACATCGAAGCATGTTTGCAACGACAGATGGAATTTAAAATTTTATATTTATTTTTAGAATATAGAAATTATATATGAATATGAAATTATATTTTGTGTAATATTACGTCATGCCAGATATAAATCACGTCTATTAAAGTTTTTAAAAAATTGCGTTAACAATACAATAATAATACGTACAGTTTAGCAAGTTTTCTTTTTATCTCTGTCACACAAATATATACGTAATGTGTATTAATTAAACAAAAATGTTAACAATGTAAATGGTTTTAAATTTTGATAAATTAATAACGATTTAAACACTTTTTAAATTTACATTAATTTACATTAATAAAGAAGCGTTATAATAAGAATTAAAAGCAGTAAATTAAATTAAAAGCGTTTAATTTAATGGTAGTGATAAAAATATAGTTCAAAAACATCTAATTAAAAATAATTTCTCATTAAATATACGAATGTATGATATAATTAAATTCTAGTTTAATTTTTTTAATTTTGATATAAATAGCGAAGTGATTTATTTAATTGATGATTTAAGGAAAAGTTAATAAATTCGTTTGTTTTTTTATTTTAATGAAATTTCCAGTTTCTAATAGATTTCAATCGTTATATCTTTCGGTTATTAAAAACATGGAATTTATTATTTTACGAAGACGTCCTATCGCAATCTTTTCACTCAACGTTGTGTTACGATTGAAAGAATCCACTTTTCAATTAGAATAGACTACAAATTTCAGATATTAATCTATTCAAAAACGTTATTGGACAAATAATACTTAAAGAATATAACGACGAAAAATTTAACAAATAATGCCATTTAGCATAAATTTTAAGAATTATGAAGAATTTATCTATTATCGATTCACTATCTTACCAAAAAAATTCTAACATAAAATTTGCATTAGAAATACACGATATCAAACGATCATTTGCAAATTAATTCTCCATCGATTTTTAACTTCGTCACTCTTGACGAAGAGAGATGTCGCCTCGACGTTCGAACACGCACGCGATAAAACTGACATCACACGGATTGAATTTACTTTAGCCGAAATCTACCTCATGATACGTATACGTGCCATATCAACACATCTCGGTCCAAGATACACACCGATTCACAGTCTAATTCCACGATCGAAAATTCCTTCTAAAAGCCAATTCAACCGAGAGAACGGGTTAATCGTTCGATCAATTTTCAACCAATTCTATTCCCATCTCGGTATAACTCAAATTCGTTTCAAATTCGCATCACGCTCTTCGTTCTTCCCTCCTCGTTCGTCCCAACGTGTTCGTTCTCCTCGTGTTTCGAAAAAAAAAAAAAAAAAAAAAAAAAAAAACTGACATTATACTTCGTCTCTATACTTCGTAACTACTCGATTTTTTTCCCCCGATGTTTATTATTTAAAAAAAAAAAGAAAAAAAAAGAGAGAGAGAGAGAGAGGAAAAAAGAGGGAGGGGAGGGAGGAAAAAAACTCCAACTCGAGGAGAGGAGAAACATTGACGCGCGAATCGTTACGAAAATATTTGAGACTCACGAGCCGGCGTAACGAGGCTCGGTTAAAGAGAAAAACGGCGGTGAGGGGGGGGGGGCGAGGGAGGGGGCGAAACGCGCGCGGGAGGGAGAGAGAGGGAGCGAGGAAAGGCGAAGGGGCGGGGAAGGAGGAAGCGAGAGGCAGGTAGAGGAATCGCGAGGAGGAACGCGCAGGTGAGAAGGAGAGGACAAAGAGAACGAAGGAGCAGGGGATGGGGTGGGGAGAGGGGGTTTGCGGCGGGTGGAAGGGGTTCGCGAGCAAGAGGAAGGAGGGACGAGCCAGAAGGAAGTCAACGTCCGAAGATTACGGCAATGACATTCGCTTTTTCTCACTCTCCTCCTCGTGTTCCTCTCTTGGCTTCGTTGTCTTTTTCCCTTTCGCGGATCTTTTCCTCTCTTTCGAGTCCACCGATCTCGCCTGCCTCTCATCATTCACTTTTCTTTCTCTCTTTTTCACTTTTTCGCTCTTTCTTTTGCCGTTACCACTTGCGGAAAACGTCCTCGAGAAGAGAATAAAAGAAGAAGAAAAGGAAGAAGAGGAAAAAGAAGAAGAGAAGGAGGAGGAGGAGGAGGAGAAGGAAAAGAAGAAAAAAGAGAAAATAAAAAAAGAGAATATAGCGAAAAAATCTTTGATATTCGGCGAACGACGATTAAAACGATCGAATCGATCGATCAAAAAGAACGAATTCGATCGATTCGATTTCCTTTTTTTTTTTTTCTTTTTTTTTTTTTTTTTTTTTTTTGGACCAAACGATCCAAACGGCTGGCTTCGTTTCGCGCCTTCGTGTAAATAAGTTTTTAAGATCACCGTTCGACGGAAGCGTTCCTCCGCGTTCCTTCGGAATATCCGTGACGATTCGCGCGTTCGCAAAGACAAACACCTTGGGGATCTAGTAAGGTAGAACGATCGATCGCGCATGCTCGAACTTCGCAGTTTATATTTATACACAGTGGCCAGAGAGAGGAAACAACAGAATGGAACGAAGTTTCCTCTTTTGTCGGACGCGCTTCTCGAAACAACGACGTTCACGCCCTTTTAGTTTTTTCTGATTTTCGTTTCGTTTTGATTTTGTCTTTTCAGCGATGGATCACGCGAAAAGCCAGGGGACCACGGATCCACTGAAAATCGGCGGAAAAGGCCGTGCTTGCGTTACCCGAAAAAAGTTTTCCCCTTAGAACGTTCCATTGTGAAGGGGGCCGATTAAAAAAGAAAAACGAGAAAGAGAGAGAGAGAGAGAGAGTAAGGGATAAAAGAGAAGAAGAGGAAAAAAAATATATATATATATATACGTATACACGGTTGTAAATAAAAGTGACAACGAACGAAAAGATCAGAGAGGCGAAGAGAGAGGAAGGATCGAAGAAGGAAGGAGCGACCGATCTCTCGATCTCGCATAATAGTTAAAAAAAAAAAAAAAGAAAAATAATGGGTTGAATCCTCGCATTTTTTTTCGAAGATTCGAAGGAAGTGAGAGAGGAAAACTAGAAGGGAGGATAACGATGTCGATGAGAACATACCCTCGCACGAAGACGACACCACGCGTCTTCTCGAACAATGCCGAACCCTTTCGAAGATCGGGATTTCCACGGATTTTCGCAGCCCTCAGGCGAGATAGTTAATGAGAAGGGTCTTCTCATGCTGTTGTGACACGGTTGTGCCAGTGAAGTGTGGATTTCTTTCCTTCTTTTTTTTCCACGTTTGTTCGTCACGTTTGTAATCGGCGACCAGGTGTTCTCGCGTGTTACCGCGGTTCTTTCGCTTTTCGAGGGAGAAAGAAAAGAAAAAAGAAAGAAAAAAGAAAGAAATATGAAGTAAGTCTCATAACCTTTCCAATTAAATCCGTGCAACGCGGTTCTTCTCTCGATCCGTCAACACCCGTTCTTCCGTGTTCCCAACGCTTATTAACGAACGTGTATCCACCACCTCCTCTTCCTAATTCTTTCGATTTCGCGTTTTCTTTCGATGCAAACCAATACCGCGACGCGTGTCACCATTATCGATCATATTCCCTCCAAGGATGTGAAAGGAATAGCCTGTTGATCCGTTGCGAGGAAAAATCACGAAAATCACGACGAATTGGAAGAAGAGAGGAGCATGCGTGAATAAAACAAATTCCATCGTTGGATCCTTCCTTTTTTCCATCCATATATAATATATATATATATATATATACCGAGGCACAGTTGGAAACGTCGGAAATTCATCGCGACACGATTCCACGCCGTCCGTCCGTCGATAAGGATCGGGTGAAAATAGAAACGTGTCACGGTGAGCTTCATAAAGCATCCGCGCGTAATCGTATCAGATTGAATAATAGGCTGCTCAAGGCTACCGAAAAGCATTGCCCCCGGCCGGCAGCGTCTGGAGAATAACGAGAATCGTATGAACGGGAGCAACGCCTAATGTGTTCGAAGTCGCTTTTGAAGGCGAGAGATTAACAGATAAAACGGCGCTCCGGTGGCCGCTGGCCGTGGATGTGCCAAAATTGTTCGTCAGTCGGCTGCGGGCAGCTTCATTGAGAATCTGGCCTGAGGAGGTAACGGCCACTGACCTCGTCGGCGTTGAGAACCGCTCGGAGAGGAATGCTTTCGCGAAACCGTAGCACCGCCGATTTTCTCGCGGACGCTTCTTCATCCTCCTCGTCATCGTCCTCTTCTTCGATATCGTGGCCTCCTTCGTCGTCGTCGTCGTCGTCGCCGCCGCCGAGCTACGATCGCCCGTGGATCGATTCGTGGGAAAGCAGGATGCGGTCGAGGATCGTTTGCTCGTGAAGTTTCGGGGAACACTTCGGACTCGCCGAGAAGTTAAATCGAGTGGAGATCGAAAAGTTTTCGAATTGAACCCGATTCCACGAGGAATTCGATGTGGATGTGTGCCGCTTCGTCGTCGGTAAATTAGTGTGAACCATCGTGTTACGGAAAGTGAGTACGCGTGAACCCTTTTCTTTTTTTCCGAAGACTGTTCCTTTTTTTCTTTCTCTTTTTGAAACGCTACCGTGTGTTTCGTTTCTCGATCGCTTTCGCAACTTTCTCCCAGTCCCGGTTTTATACGATATTTTCAAACGAGTTAGATTAAGATTATTTAAACTCGCGTCGAGCTACGATTGAAAGGAAACGAGGATCGCATGTTGCATCGAATCCTCCCTCCTCGATCGAGATATTATTTTTCGAGAAACGGTGAGTGATAAATATAAAAAGGAAAGGAACAAGATAGATATTAAGGGAAGAGAAGGATTAAGAAAAAGACGGACGAGGGAGGAGAGGCATCTGAATAAACGAAAGAAAGTGATCAGAGCCGGACGCGAATCGAATCACGTAGAGAGTCGAGTACGCGAATGGTGACCGCAGTTGGTAGCGAGGTGCGCGATCGCCATCATCATCATTTCCTCTTCGTACAATGGACGTTTTCAAAATCGACCAGTCGCTGAGCGCGGGTCTGGGTAGCGCCCCGGCGCCAGACACCCTTACACCGGAAGTGTCGTTCGACGCCGGCAGTGAGTTCAATTTGAGCTTCTTCGACGGCCCGGAGGAGAACAGCACTCAAGGATTCAGCGATCCAGGTTCCGTTGGTAGCGCCAGCGCATCTCCACCGCCTGGAACACCGGCCAGCATCCCTGTTAATCCCTCGAACGCCGCCCTACCGATTGTCCAAGTGCCCCCTGGCATCGTCATTAAGCAAGGTTTGTTTCATTTCGTTTTTTTCTTTTTTTTTTTTTTTTTCGTCTCTTTCATTTTTACCATTTACTTTGGTGGATTTTCTTTGATGGATTTAATAATTCTTTCTCGTTCGTTTTCTCTTCAGTTTTTTCTCTCTTTCTTTCTTTCTTTCTTTCTTTCTTTCTTTCTTTTGCAAACGATTTTGGAGATTTCTTTTTCTTTTTTTTTTCCAAGTTATATGTATCGTACTCGGTTTGAGAGAAGAAGTTATCGTTCGTCGAGCGATACGATTGTTGAAAAGCACGACGTTTCGAGCGTGCTTTTGTTTCTCGCGCGATTTGGTAACGATTTTGGATTTATGAAAGCAAGCGGGGAAAGAAACCGCGTATCATTGCGATGAATGAGTAATGTCGTAATTGATTCAATTTTACGATTATATATATGATTTAACGAGGATCAGTGTATTTATGCGCTTATCGATATCAATTTAGAGTATTATTCTTGGATCTCTGTTTAAATACAACATTTTCGAAGACAATTTCTATTGATACTATATAAGATTACAGAAACTATGATACGTGAACAAAATATTATTTTGTTCACAAATTTCAAGTATTTATATATATTATATTGTAATACGATATATATATTTTCGTACCATCAATCTTCAGACATCACATCGAATTACAAAATCTTTCTTCGCGAAGATAGAAAAAAATTTCGAGGCCATCCGTTCGGCTAATTCACTAGCTTGAAACTTTCAATTGTTCTAACGATATCATTCCCTCTCTTTACAATTCCTCGGAATTGTTTGTCGATTCCATCGGCTCCCTTCGCCGAAGCCTCTCCTCTCTAAAGGTTACGATACAAATTGGAAAGGTCGGCGAGAGTATCTGGCAATATTCGCAATTCGTCTCGCGGCGAGCACAATGCTATCAGTTATATATATATATATATATATATATATATACGATACAAATCCAACGGAGCTTTGGGTTCGCTACCAGCGGCCTACCGATTTCTCTTTCAATTGAGTTTTCTTCCAACGTTCCCCCCATTGTTCGGAGGAAATATCGGATCGAAAACTGGTTTCTTACTCGTGAATCGAACTCTACTACCCCCAACCCCTCCTCCCCTATTTACAAAGAGAATGGAGGGCTGACATTTCACTCGTGAACCAACGGTTCATATATATATATATATATATATATATATATATTTTCTTGTTCTTCTTCTTGTTCTTCTTCTTCGGAGTCTCTTCGCTGCGCAACGTAGATCCGTTGCCCTTTCGCCATCTCTTCGCTGGGAAAATGTGAAAATCGTATCGATCAACGTCTCGATGAGGAGGAGGGGAGGGGGGGAGGGGGATTGAAGAGAAAGTTGGAACAGATGTTTGAATTACTCGCATTGAAATTCGATTATTTGACGTTATGGAGAGGCGTGTGGATCGATAGATTTAAAATTTATTATTAATTGTTATTTGAATCTTAATCTTAATCTGGCAAGTTAAATTATAGGGGTGAAAATTGTTTCGTTATTTTTTATATTCTTGGTGTAATGGAAAAATAGGAGGGAGTTATATAGGATCAAATGATTAAAAGGATAATGAAAATTGTTTTAGAGGTTGTTCTAAGTTGTGTATAATGCGGGTTAGAAAGGGAAGGATGGTTAGGGTGGTTAAATTGAAAGAACTGGTCGCGAAGTGTATATAAAACATTTGCAGGGGACAATACGTTTCTTTGGATCTTCTGCAAGAAGATGATTCAAATTTCTTGCGCGTCATCCGAGATTACACGTTTATGACGTGACATTTCGAAAGAACAATACGAGTTATCCGTTTCTATCCTCGTACGGCGATCAAAAGTTGAGACGTCTTCCTTGTTGGAATAAAAATCAAAAGTTTAAATTTAAAGCAAGCAAAGAATTTATTAAGAACGCATCGTTTCCCTACTAAATAAACTTTTCTTTTTTAAAAATAAATAAAATCATTAATCCAATTAGTAATATTTTTCAGAGAACAATATTTTCATAAATTTTCTAAAATTTCTAGGTAACATTGCAATTTTTATTAAACATCATCTAAAATCATCATTAATCTAATTGTAAAATTCTCTGTAAATATTTTCCAAATTTTCTACAACCATCGCAATTTTTACTTTATTATCTATCACGCGATTCATTACATATTTTTATATCGAAAAAAATCACTCAATCGATTTAACGCGTTAAAAACTCTCGAGAAACGAAATTTTCTAGAAGCATCGTATACTTGACAGGCTAGGCAACCACTTTTCCATTGACCATGAGAAGCGTCGAAAAGCGTGGAGGCCGCCCGTTTAAATTATACATTCGTCTAAAAGGTCCGCCGATCAGAGAGATTCGACGATTCCCGAAAATCCAACTTTGAATTTCAAACTCGGGAACGGTCAAGGCCTGCCTTGTCTGATTCTATTCGGGACTATCCCCTGAGATGGAGGCTCGCGTTAACGCTCGGATGGCGGCGCGATGCGAAAAATTTCCTTTTCCCCCTCAAGTTTCTCGTGTCACATCTCGTGTCGATAACGCGTTCTCGTCTCCCCTCTCCCCTCCCCTCCCCCCTCCTCCCCCCCTGAGAACAGGCTTGTGAATATTTCTCGACCTGTCATCCGTGGTTCCAAAGGGAATCCTCCCGGTTAAAAGCACGGTTTACGCTTTAGCGTGACTCTCGACTGCTCCTTCACGGTTTCTTTTCTCCCCTTTCCTCCTCCTCCTCCTCCTTCTTTCGAAACTTTGCAAGAAACTTTGGCCACGCTCTTTCCAACAAAACGAACTTCTCCCGAGAATTAATCATCCCGCGATCCTCCTCTTTTTAAATCGTCTTTATCTTCTGGACGGAGGCAGAGAAATTTTCGAGTTTTAGTGGAAGTCAAAAAACGAGGAATTGAGAGAGAGAGAGAGAGAGAGAGAGAGAGAGATGGAATGGTGGATGGGATGGGCGATATTAAATGTTTGCTCGTTTTTGATAGATCTATTTTTCCGCTTGTTTATTTGTCGGCGGAATGATTGAGTTTTATTGATCGATGGTGAATTATGAGGCAGGAAAGTTTTCTTCTCTTCGGTGTATGTTATTTTATATGTGGGTGCCTATCCATCATGGCGATGTAATATAATTGTGAAATTGACTTAAGAGAAATGAAAGGGTTAAGAGAATAATGATGTAAAATACGTATATACGACTCCTTATCGATTCATAAATTGAATCTATTATATCTGCCACTTTGATACAGAACACTGTATACAGATATAGTGGGCAATAATTTTTAACATTATTCGTGAAATGTAAATATTATTCAATTTCGTGGGGGAAAAAAAAAAACATTATTGACTCCATTTTTAATAATTTAATACTTTTTTTCAAATCGTTTAATGAAACTTCGTTAATAAATGATCCTTTTTACAAAGAATTTATACAAATTCGAAACTACTCCATTGTAAAAATTAGAAAATATCACTTATCAATTTCTTATTAATGAATTAATAGCACCACTGTAATAATCCTTTTTTTATCGAAAAACCTTTACATATATCATTTGTTTTAAAATGAAAAACAATCAGGAAAAGATTATAAGATTAAAAATATAAATATATATGTATATATTTTGCACGAGGAAAAAGTAATAGTTTGCTCTTAGCTTCTATATTAGCTTTTCTATTCTTGTACCATTACGTAAGATTGCGTCACCGTGTTTTTAAAAAATTCATTTCACTAGGACTCGATTCCCTTGGGCTACACGGCGATAATCAATTCGAAATCGAGGAGCTGTATTCACGGCTATCTCTGACGGAGAGGCGTTGCTCGGCCCCCGTCGATGACCGTTCGCAGTCATTGGCGTCCTGCTCATGTCACGTAAATCGTCTTCCTGGAACGAAGGCCACGAGAAAGTTCGTGCCGCTGGTTCAGTGCCACGGTCACGCTACGTGCGTGGCATCGACACCGACGAAAGTAAACTAAATCCAAAGGATTACGCAACCCCGTTTTAAAAGTCTCTCGATGTTCTTCTCTGACCGCCTTCCTTCTCGTTCCTTCCCCTTTTCCCTCGCCGCTCCGTCGCTCGCCTCGAATTATTTGATTAATTCGTGCCGTGGTGAGGATCGATACCGCCCCTTTGTTACTAATTTTGCATTTGAGAATGATTGATCGTGCCACTCGAAACTTTCAACTATTTTCTTCTCGTGTATGGCGAAATTTGAATAGATCCAGCTCGTGCTGATTAACCGTTATCGTAGATGAAAACCTTAAATTGAGACGTGATGGATGAATTTTGTTTGAGATCGATCTTGAATTTTGATATTTTCTGAAAAAAGAAATATATATATATATATAAGTATTAAATATTCTTATATCTATTTAAAATTTAATTTAATAATTTTTAAAGTAAAATCTTCGTATATGTGATAAAATCCAAGTTTAAAAAGTCACAATGTTTTTTTTTTTTTTTTTAAATAAAGTATATATCTTTAAGAGGAGAATATTCCGTTTAATAAAAATTGTTAAAGAGAGGACAAAATTTTCATAAGAAAACTGTTTGACTAGAAAAAAAAATTTACAATTCTCATTATCGATCGTACAAAACATTTGAATTCCTTCATATAAATGGTTGGTCGTTCAAAAGATTCTCCCAACGTGGTCATTGGTTTTGAATAATTGCCGGTTACTTCCGAGTGTAATATAAGCAAGTCAGAATCGTGTGTCGAGTCAACGTGCTTTATTAATATTCATGTATTATATTCACCAGTTATATACTCGTTTCTTGTCTTCGTATGGCGTTCACCTTTTCGATACGTTTCCGGATTTTTTGCACGCGTGTGTGTAACCGTCCCCCGTGCTTTGATAATCCAGTTTCTTCTGTGAGAAAAGAGATAGAATCGTGCTAAAATTATCATTAAAGAATACGTGACGTATATTGTTTCGTGGTGGATTATATTATCGTGACGTTGCATTTTTATGATCGCACATGAAAATAACGGTAAAAAAAGTCGGAGC